TCCAACTTTGGATATCGAGGGTTGAAATTTCAAATTCTCCAAGTGGCATTTGTGATGAATAAATTCATTTTCTTTTCAGTTTTCTTGGAGTTCTCTAGGTTTTCGGAAGTTACATCCAACCATCACCTCATGATTGATCAAATGATTATCCTCACCAATTTATTCACCAATTCATTGGCCGTCCTAGACCGACAACTTAAGTTCCGGCACTTGAAGATAATTATGATTCAGTGGCACAGTTTTTATATGTTACATCTACGTCTACAATTAATATACTGGTAGCTTCAGATTCATTCTTAGTTTAGCTACCTTGTTAGCTTTCATCATCTAGATATCAAAATTTAAATCTCGGTCACATTTCACTGAATATACGGTTTTCATTATTATATTTTATCCCTCAACTAAGCCCTCAAAGATCACTTCGGTTCCTTGAAAAGTAAAATCATAATTAAGAACCATTTCCACTATGCTCTTTCACTGCTTCAGCGCTTTCCTTTCAACTCAACGTACTATTCTATTTATCCTAAACTGCTGCTACAACCACAGTTCTGAAAGGAAGCTTTGGACGACCATGATCCAACAATTCGAAGGAAAAGTCTAGTATGTGTTGGGTCTATCTTTTATATTCAAACTCAACTGTGCTTTTTATGCTTCTATTATTAATATTCTAAGAGCTTCAATGTGGTCCTTAGCTTAGTGAACAGTGCACTATCCGCCCCCTTTCGGGTATCGAACTTTCAATATTCTTCTCTGCAAGTGGAATTTCTGACGGAAGAAGCGTTACGGTATATTTTTACGTTCGCGGCATATATTAAGAGGGTTCTTCCATTTTATGTATTCCTGGCTTCTGGGAACCTTGTGTCCTCATTGTTGTCCTCGTAGATAGATTTATTTATGGCGGAGATCAACTCTATGTGGATAGTTTTAAGAAATTACTCGTTGAACATGGTGAGAAAACGTTTGACATATATTCTCGTGATTCTTGTTTCGATTCACATAGAGCTAGCGATTCTCTAAATTAACCTAATATCGCATGGATAAATGGACTACTGAATGTATACATTCCTAGAACATGAACTTGGAGAGATCAGATATTCATTATCATAACCGGTCAAGTACCTTAATTGGTGGAATTTTTTCAGACAGTTTTCAACGACTGCCATTTCAACTTTGTTATACGAAGTAGAATTATTTTGAAGTAAACATCGTTAACGTGATTATTTAAAGCTTTTGAAACTTTTATCTGCCAATTCAACCCAAGTCCTTTAATAATTCAGGCAATTCAAGGATCCTAGCCTTCCAATGCAAAAGAGTATTTAGGTCGGAAATTAATTGAGGAATGAATAGGAAAACGTAATCTGGCAAAGTAATTTTCAAACATTTTATAATTTTAATTTGTTGCTAAAGTACAATTTCCACTGACCAATTTTATTTACCCTTCTATCAATGCAGCTGCTGTGAATTCATTTCAATAATTTCATCGTGTTCCTCATAAGTTGTGGATCGCAAATGATACTAATGTATTCTACTCTTGTAATAATATTCTGTCACTCAATTAAACGAGTTTGAGACTTAAGTTTATTTATCTTTCTAATTGAATGCAAAAAGATTCATAAATATTCAAATTTGTCACTTCCGAAAATATCTTTCTCAAAGAGAAATAAACAAGGAGTTCTGAAAATTCAACTTACGATCAATATATTATGACATAAAAATGTTAATCTTGCAGAGATTTACATATAATCAAATTGCAAAGATACTATGTCAGTAGCAAAGCAATATGTATTAATATTTTTTAAATTTACCCAATACATGTATATGAGTGTTCCTAGAATGTATCTCGGGCGAATCAAAAACCTTTTATACATACATACATACATACATATATATCAAGAGAGTGAGTGAGAGGTTATAGGATGTTGATATACACAAGAGCAATAAACTCTGTTTGACCAATCACCATTAAAGTTGACACATATAAGTGTTTTTTCATCCAGAATGTTTATGTGCTGTTGATATTGTTGAAACTTCACTAGATGTGACTGTAGAACAAAACAAAATTTTCATGTCAAATGCAACATGCAACACTCGGCATCTTTTTGAATCAATATCGGTAATTAACTCAAAAGCGAAGCTTTCTAGGTCAATAAAAACTAAAATGTCTCAAAGAAACTTTTCTCGCACCGTTATCTACAGGTTGAGATCATCTTCAACATTGTATTAAATTTTTGCAGGTCCAACGCATCTCAATACTACCCCATCTGCTTAGAGACGTGCAGAATCTGCAACTAAATATGAATGAGAGAGAGATAGAGACAGAGAGACCGACGGAGAGAGAGAGAGAGACAGAGAGACCGACGGAGAGAGAGAGAGACCGACGGAGAGAGAGAGACAGACGGAGAGAGAGACGGAGAAAGATATGGAGAGAGACGGACAGAGAGAGACCGAAAGAGAGATGAAGACATTAAGCTCTAACCCAATATAGTCCAACTTTTTATCTTTTTCAAAAACATTTTTTTCAATTTCAGCATTATTTTCAAGTTACCATGCTAACACATCAAAATCATTAATTGTAATACCCATATCAAAAACAATGCACGTTCCAAAAATTGACCAGTGGGTTCGAATACTGGAAGTAAAACCAAGCAACAAAACCTTATTTTGTGTTAATTTATAGATGTGTTCTGGTTATTTTTGAGAAAAAAATTATTTTGGAAGCATTTTAAAGTCATTCATTTTTGTGGAAATATGAGAAGCAGTTTGCGTGCAGGGGAATATCACACTTTCCATACATCTTTGTGGTGATACTCTTCCATTGTGATCATCACCTTCGCTTTCCAAGTAACATAATTATCTGATCTAATGGATCATATCTCACTGCATTACTTACTTTCTTTTCCAGAGTCTTCGGGTTTGGATTTGTTTGACTTAAAGTAGAGCGAGTGCCGTATTTGTGAAAGTGAGTGTTATATATGAAGTGGAACCCAATAGATCTAATGGCATTTTCCCCAATATTAAATTGCATGTAGAGTGAACAAGAATTATTAACTGATACATTGGATGCAAAGAGTTGTAGCACCATTCTCTCATTCGGTAGTTAACTCTTAGATTGCCAATGTTCTCATCCATCCTATCACAATGATGCATTGCTATGATAGTATTGTAACTAATTACAACAGCAGGAGAAACGATAACAAAGTATTTACTTTCAGACCTGCGCCCTTTTCTCTACATGGAACCGACAGTCATCTGAATCCTACCGACAACTGTCGGTTGCACAGACGGGTGAGGCTAGTGAGGTTCGAACCAATCAGCAAGGAGAAGTTGGGTCGCGACATCGGAATCATGGAAACCGCGCCGTTCTGTAGCTCATTTGCACGTGTTTACATTGTCAAAAGAAGATTGTCTCCAAGTAAGAAGTGTGTAAAGAAGATTATAAAATCTGTTTTTATTACCTCAATGACTCCAAGGTAAGATTTCATATTGTTAAGTAGATGCTAGTATATTGAAGTGACAATGTGTAAGTGATACCGATAATATTATTTTATAAAAACTCGTTCACTCGTCCTTCGAACTCATTCGTTTTTCTCCATAAGTATTATTGTAATCGTCTCTTTCCGTCGTTAGGAGCCACTAGATTCTTCCAGCACAGCGCGATAGCTAGTGCAACCTTCACTACCCTTCCTAACAACCTTCGTGACCCCGACTGCGTGCCCCGAGCCTCGCACTAGGCCGACGGACGCTACAACACGTGACCTTTCAAAAACATTAAGTTCGTTCGTCTAATATCTTAGAGGTACCGGCGCCGTTAATTCGCTCGACCACTACACCAAATATGATTCGATGTCGCTCGAAGCCACTGCAGGGTTGCGAGCTTCAACTATCGTAACTCCAACTAACGCAATCACCGATATTTGATCATTCACAAGGTGAATGTAAAAAGTTCGCTCAGAAATGCTAGTTAGCTTTGCCTTACACAAACAGGATTATTATTGGGCTTCAGGGTGTGGGAATGCGGCTCTACTTGTATAAGTAAATTTAGCAAATTCGTGAATAGTGCTTATATTCAATAAAGAAAACCAGAATTAACATAACAAAACACAAACCAACCCTTAAAGTAATCCCCCTGCCTGGGCACCGATAATTAATCACTCACTAGGTGAATGTAAAAAATTCGTTCATGAGTGCTAGTTAGCTTTGCCATACAAAACCAGTATTCCCATTGGAACACAGGGTATGGGAATGAGGCTCGATTTGCGTAAGGGAATTTATCTAATTCGTGACTGGTGCTTATATTCTATCAAAAACAAGAATGCACATACAAAACACAAACCAACACTAAAATGTACACATAAAACTTATTACCAGAACCTGCAGAATTATTCGTACCTTCTAATACCATCTTGGCATCTTCATTGATAGGGGAAATTGTAATAACTCTTATATCAGAGTGCAAACATCTCGTGCTCCATTCCCCATTGCTTATAGATCACCTTACTTTATGATAAAATTCCCCCAACTAATATGTACACAATTAATGTTCAACTTTTGAAAATACAAATTAATATTTACAATAAACAAACAATGTACAAACACGTATATCACTCAGCTTACACTTATTAGTCATGCATTTAGCAGAACATTACTTTCAAATTTTGTTCATTGTCAACATCAATTTTTCAATAATTAAAACTAAATACTTTTACTGTACAATAATTTACATATCCTCACTAGTAATTAAAATAATTTAAAATATTGCAGTCTTTTAAGCTGTTTCTTACGCCTACTAATTTACTCCGAATTTATCGTAACACACAATTCTCAAATAATCACGGTAAAACTATTAATTAACTCTCTGATTTACTACAGAACCATACTGTTCTAATGATTTGAATTTGAAAAAATCTGACCCTAAGCATAATTAGCACACGGCTTATCTTATCCAAGCGGAGTCTCTGATTACTTCTAATAAAAACTGAAAGTAAAGGTGTGGATCTTACTTGTGGATGGATGGTTCAGTTGTATTTCAGCACTCTCGCCTCCTCCCGGTCGTTTTCCCATACAGGTTTCAGTTTGTATAGAAATTCGGCAGTTCAACACCACTGAAGTAATCCAACAGATGAACTTCGCACATATTTGCTCGCACTAAAAATAGAGACACAAGTAAAAAAGAAAACTGAATTTCAAAACCACTCATCTTAGCACGGTACTTATATTTTTATTTATTTAATAGGTAATTATTACAAACAAATTAGATTACTTGATCCTATGTGGCTAGG